GACAACTACTATGGCAGACGACTTCGGACTAGGTGCGTTCTACCAAGTCGCCCTGACAACAAGACCAAGTAGCGAAAACTAGGTCAACCCACTTCTTATTATTGCTGGTTTTATATTTTAACGTACATATGAACTCATATATTCACACACAAGAAGATAAAAATGCATGCATCTTGATCAAGACATTACATGAACTAATTAAATCACTATATACTTTATGGAGCTTCCTAAATTAAGAGTGTGCATACGACATGTGTGGATGAGCTGGTGAGTCTTATTGACTCAGTTGGAATTAGTTTAGAGAATGATACCCTACTCTGATGATGTCCACCGTATGACAAGAAAAAGCTTAGCACGTTTTAACAGGAATAGAGGGAAATTCAAGTGAGAACAGCGTCGACCAGAGCGTTTCAGCAAAGCCAAAAGTTATCTGTCCATGAGGAATCAGTAATGGTCCTCTGGTGACAACGACGTTCGAAAGTCTCTATCACAGGCTTTCACTCTATATGGAAGTGAATTGAACAAAACTACGCATGCACTCAACAGTTAGTCTTTATCTTTTACGCTGACGACGGCTCAAGGCAGAGTTATTTTTATTCACTATTACATGACAAATCAAGAGAGGATTAGCACTTATGTTGCTGCATTCCTGATTGAGACAGGCTTTTTACTCGCTAGACTTGTAAGGTGGGTAAGCGAAATAGATTTTTTGGTTACTGAGTTCGAAATTGAAAGAAGTCGTACAGATCCTTTAAGCAGTCTTCTGCTTCAAGTCCTCACCTAATTAAATATTCCTTTTTAACCCTGTGTAGTGGGAGTCGTATTTATCATTTAAGAGATTTATAGATGCATATAAATATTACAGAAAGTAAATGATGCAGGCTACAAAGTAAGTAGGAATATCAATGCATGAAAATATGAGAATGAATATTAGAAAATTAAAGTGGTAACATAGCTGGAAATTCAAGAGCACATGGACGCTGGAACACAAGATGCTGAAAGTTTAGTGATCAATACGCACTTACCATGAAAGGCACGGAACAGCTGATGGCAAAGATGACGATCAAGATGACAATAGCAGCAGTGCCTAGCAGGACAATATCGACTGCCAACCGGAAGAGACATCCATGCCCAGCGAACCATGACAACGGTCGATGCATTGGATGGTTAAGCCGTGGATTTTTTGAATTCGACTCAACTGTTTTGTGAAGCCCCATGACGTCGTCTATATATTCTGTTTGTCTGGTAGCGTTATTGTTATCGAGTGTGACGGTATTAGAAGGTCGAATACAGCTATTTCCAGTCTGTTGGCAGTAAAATAGCGTCCTGTCAAGCGGCCTTGTTGCTTCGGCCAAGTTAAATCCAGAATCAACAGGGCCCTTCAATACAGGATTGAGCTTGGCCAAGTAAGTGGGCTGATCAGCTGGAAATAAGAGGGCTGGAGCCAATTTAGAAGAGGCCTGTGCGGATGACACAAGTTGGGATATGAAACAGACAATCAGGAAAAAGTTCAAAGGATTGGTTCGCCATAGTAAGTCAATATGGGTGGAAATGCGCGTACGAATGAGTAAGAATTATTTGTATTCCCTTGTGTGCAGATATGCAAAAGAATATTAATGAATAAATTCTTGTGTGAAATATTTGAATAGTGCTAAATAGGTGAATACTTTTGTGAAAACAAAAAAAATCCATAAAGAGTCAAGGTAACATTGGTTAAAGAACCATGAAAATCGTATATACTTATACATATTGGAGGTATAGTAGAACTCATAAATATTAACTCATAGTTACTTTGTTCAGCTTATTAGAAATAAAGATCAGAGCCCTGAATGAGAACACACTATCGGGGTTCGTGGCAAAAAGAAAGATCGAATAAAAAATCAAATCGTCTTAACTTAGCGATAATAGATATACAACTCGGTCCCGAAACGCCATTCGCTCATTGGTTAATCATCTCACTCTCTGGGGTAACTTTCATTTCGTATGAAAGCGTAGGAAAAAGGCATTCGAAGGTCGATCTAACCAGAAAAGGAGGGCTGATTCCTAATGCACTGCAGCCGTTTAGCTTTAATACGATCTTCAGGTTGACAAAGTCCACGAGAAATTCCCGCTTGTTAGGGGGAAAACGGGCTGAGATTACGTCCATCATCTGATGTACATCATCAGAGCTGGAACTCATTCTTGCAAAAGTCCCACGTAAAAACACTAGATCAAGAATATGAAGAGAAGCTACGTTTCGAGGAATTCATTTTTAGATTGATACTGACATAACTTTCATTTCCTTTGAGAAAGTGGGTGGAAGGAATTCGTAGATTGGCCTCATCGGATACAGACCCCAATGACTCCGTGCTGATCTTTCGTCCGTCATGTGACGGACATCGTCAGAGTCAGAAATGATTATTCACGAAGACTCACCCAAAATAATATACTAAGAAAGGTGGTCAGCTTAGATCCTACTTATTTCTTATACCTCAATTTGCTATCTTAATGAGGCATTTCATGATTTGGTTGGCTATTTTATGCTTGTCCTATATGCATGTAAGCGGGTCAAAGTGATGCACGAAGAGGATCGGATGTGATCACAACTTTTATGTATGTAAATAATCTAGCGTATGATCCTGTTGTCCTGAGTCTTGTTAGAGCTTCTTTGATGCGTGATTGTGTGTATATGCAACACAATTTAGGTCTAAAATCAGACCTTAGTTCAGTCAAGTCTTCTCCTCTTAGAAAGTGGCTCTTCTAGTTCACTTTCAGCTTCTCTCTCTCTCTCACTCTCACTCTTTCTTTCTCTCTTCCTCTAATTCTATTCAGCAGCCAGAGATAATTCTTACTTCGTCCAGGTTCCTAATGTTGCCATCCTGCAAGCTTTCAAGAATGATAGGTGAAATGGAAATGGAGCATCAAAACAATGTATAAAGAAGCAATCACGCTTTTCTGGGCCATGCTTTCGTTTAGAGAATTTTCAGACGCAATCTGCAGATTAGGTTGTTGTAAGGTAGTGTTTATGTGGAGGAGATTTGCCTATCCATACATAAGAGGCTATCAGAACATAGAAGGTGCTTCCCAGGTTTATGGATTCAGAAATCTAAGGTGGCAGAACCTCTGGCCACTACAGAAAACCATATACAGTTGTCTAAATCCAAACGTTTTGCCGGATATGGGGACCTCAACTACTAAACAGAAGAACAGGGAGTCGATTGAAATTAAGAAAACAAAGAAAATCCCGAATAAGAGGAACAAATGTATACAACTAAGCAAGAATTAACTCTGGCTGCTGAATGGAATTAGAAGAAGAAATAAAGAGAGAGAGAGAGAGAGAGTAAAGGAAAGTGAACAGGAAATGCCACTGTAAAAGGAGAAGACTTGACTAGGCTAAAGTTTGGTTTTGGACCTAAATTGCATTACATACACACACAAACACGCATCAAAGAAGCTCTAACAAAACACAGACTACAGGATCATATGCTAGTTTATTTGCATACACAAAAGTTGTGATCACATCCGGTCCTCTTCCTGCATCACTTTGACCCGCTTACATGCATATAGGACATACATAAAACAGCCAATCTAATCATGCAATGCCTCATTAAGATCGCAAAGTGAGGTATAAGAAGTAAATACGATCTATACTGACCATTTTTCTTGGTTTATTGTTTTTGGTGATTGTTCGTGAATAAGGGTTTCTGGCTCTGACGATGTGCGTCACATGACGGACGAAAGATCAGCACGGAGATATTGGGGTCGTAGAACGATGAGTCGAGGACCTCTTCGTATAATTCAACAGAGAAAAGTCCAAGGCAACCCCCTTTCGATATCCGGTGAAGCCAATCTACGAATCCCTTCCACCCACCTCCTCAAGCAAAGTGAAAGGTATGCCAGCATTAATTTATTGGCATATTGGCTCGATTTGGAATGGTTCTGAGTTGCTAGAGGCTCCAAATATATTAAGAATCTAGTCTTTAATTGGGAATTTTAGCTAAAGTACAACACTATGCTTCATAAAAAAGAATTATATAAGTTCAGATTTAGCCCAATAGAGGGGTTATCTTTGATGTAATTTATATTTATTGAGACCCTTATGCTGACTCCTATCACATAAAAGTGTTTATCTGGGTTGATAAACCATAGAATAGTACGATAATCTCAGGAGAGTAAATACGAGAAGATAAGAAATATGAATGGGTGACCATTCTAGATACTTACTTTTGTGAGCAAAGTTTAAACATATTTGTAAAGCAACCAAAGCGCCCGAATCCTTGCTAACACAAAATAAACCAACTAACCTAAAATTAGGCTAAAAACCCGACGCCCAAAGTATGTGGAATTCACTTCGAACTACCTGAAAAAAGAGGCCTGGCTGGGTTGGGCTGAGCGACAACTTAGTCCTAGTTACTCTTGGCATTAAAGTTCCCTGAGACAAAAAGAAGATCCTGTATCTTGATAGTGACGATTTGGTAGAGCACCAAGGCAATTTTTAACTAATTGCTGCAAGCGGTCATTTATTCTACTTTACAGTATCAAAAGTATCGTGTTGGCGACGAAAGAAACCGTTCAGCTCTTGAGGACATGGTTAAAACCGAAGAAAAAATACAATAATAAAGCTCTGCTAGGTAAGATAAATCCGCATTCAATAGCACAATTAAAGATTAACCTTAAATAGAAGTGGTCAATACAACATATTAAAGAAATGAGTAAAAATGAATGGGAAACATACTTTGTGTCAAAAAGTCAACCACGCAACCAAGTTAAGATACAAATTGAAATCGCGATATGATACTAGTTTTTTACTCCATTCCCTGCCATAATTACACCACATTTAAAGATTTATATAAGTATTGCCTCGTGAAGACACGACAGATTAAATTTATATTTAGTGAATATAGGTTTTAAGGATTATCAGTACATCTTTAGCATTCATCCATCCTGTCATTAAAGGTGACGAAGACCTGCGAAGTAACAACTGTAGTACACACTAGATAAGAATGCCTCTTGGGAAGCAATGCTAAATGAAGCTCACTGGAAATCTGGGGCTTATTCAGATCACTGTGAGAAAATTTAATTATTAGTCCTTAATCGTTTTATACAACCTAGAGTGACTAAAATGCTCAACGGGCAAAGGCTTACTGAGAATTAATCTGGATCATACTACGGTGTTTTGAAGACTACTAGATACACAACAACCAACCATGCAGATCATAAAGAATTAAATCTTAGTGTTTTATTAAGATTAATTGATGAATCTCCTTTGTTAGCATTTCAATGTAAAACAAAAGTAAAAGGATTAAAGAATAAGGAGATAACAGCAACACCAACTTTCTGAGTAAGTAAATCGCCAGTTTCCGAGGCGATTAGCCAAGGGAAGTCAACTCTAGTGTCTAGGGAGGCACCATCAATAGAGTCGTAATCAGCGAGGGGAGCCTGGATGGGCTGAGAACAAGTGGTGGATGCTCGGAGACGTGCTAAGTGGGGCCAACCTGGATCTTTGTAAAGTGCTGGCTCGTTGCGGCTATCAGGTCCAGCCGCAGCAAAGGGAAGATTAAGGAGTCTTATAGTTTCGTCACCTCTTTCTTCAAATTGGCTTGTCCGTGGAACGTAACTATATTTACTGAATTTGTCACTTCCTTCTCTTGCGTTCTCGTAGTGACTAGTATCGTAATCCTCTTCGTATATTTTGCTCGAAACCTTCGGGAATTGTCTAGAGGTCTCGAAGAGTTGAGGTTGGCAGTAAGGTTGCCAGAGACAGGAAGGACCAAACGAAGAGTGAAGGTATTCAGAAGGTTCCTGCCTACTTTCTACACCAGAAGAAGAGGAGCGGAGAGAGGTAGTGACCGGGAAGTATCCGATGGCTTGCTCGAAATGACTACTAGCCGATCGAGCAACTGAGAATATAAAAACAATGGTAAGAGTATTAAAAGCATCACTCAAATGAAACGCATGAGTGTAATGAAGAAAGTCAAAGGTAAAACACGAAATTATACATAAAATTTAAAGCATGCTTATTCTATATTAAATTTTGAAAAGCAAGTAGATAGTGCTGCCTTTTTTCAACTGTACAGGTACTTAGAAATAGTGTAAAGTTTTTTGACAGAAAATTTATATGAAAGATAGCCTACTAAGGCTTGAAATGACACCTTTCAAGCTTAAAACTTTTCCCAAACTTGTCACAAAATCACAAGATGGCATACAGTGGTTTCACTGGTGTGGCACATGATGCCAAAATATGAGAAAGGCAAAAATAACATTTGGTAAACAAGAGATATACTAGGCCATATTCAGGAGTATGAACTTTGTCGATAAACCAAATTTAAAGAGAAACCAGATTATTAGAAATACGAATTCGGAAAATTAAAATTGTAATAACGCAAAGTAAAGCATAACACAGCAAAGTGAAAAAAAAACTACGGTAAGGTTTTGTTACTTTGCCTTACACAGTTTAATGGAGTAAAAGCATATTCAATCCTATGAGCAACACACACATAATATATGCTCCTCGGCTAAAAATCAATATTATTGGTAGCAAAGAGGAGCAGAAAATCTGTCCCTCTTGTTTTTTTAGTCGATTCGTATGGCATCCATATCTCTAGCTTATAAGAAATGCTTAATCGCTAAAAGTGACAAATAACTATTTAATTCTTGACCTTAGTCTTTCCACAGGCCGAAGTGAGGTGTTTTCTTAATTTGCCCTCCTGATAATCTGAGGAGCGGCATCTTCAAGTTCATTAAGGACGTCAGAAAACAAGCTCCCAGCTTTTGCAAATAACATCATCTTTAATAAATCGGAATACCTATTTTAGGCAATTAATTGCATTTAGGCCATTATAAATTGTATAAAGAGTTATCCAATTTACACACTTTTCAAATGGCAGGCTTTAAGGATTAACTTATTTCAGAGTATAATCATCACTTCATAAGGCTACCTGCCGAAGTTTGATATTATTAAGTATTATCTATGCGGGCACTTTAAAAACTCGTTAGTATTGAAGGTTAATGAGGCTAATGAGAGGAGGTATTGTAAAAATGAAGAAGAGGATAAATGTGTCCCTCATCTAAAGGAAGGGAAAAAGTGTCCTAATATAAATATAGGCCTAAAACACTGAAAGTAACCACCCCTATTGGTTTGGATACTGCGGAAGAAATAAAGAAGAGAAAGAAAAACAGAAAGATAGATCGATAGGTAACCAAGCTAACGACCAAAAAGCCAAAGAAGAAAAAGTGTGAGTAGTTATGAAAGAATGAACAGGTTGATTGGACGCCGGCATGTGAAATCGCTTACTCATTATAGGACAGTTGAATCACCAAATGGTATTATGAAAACGAAACATGATGATGGAGGTTATGCAGGAGCTGAAGGTGTAGCATCCACAAACCCTCAACCTCATTACATCTGTCGTTGCTAGACTGTGCGACCCAATAGTCCTGAAAATAGTTGTGCGTTTTGAGAGCACTGATAGCAAGAGCTGCAACAGTGAAAAGACAGAGCTCCAAGGCGCAAGAGACCACAGCTCAAAATCACGCCGCTCTCCCCTGTGTGCGCAGACTATGGGCCAATCTCACTGAAAGTAGGTCTGTCAGGGCACAAAGCACGAGCGCCCAGTCGGACGGGAAGTGAGCGCAAGGAGGTCGACTAACTAGATGGAGCTGGAGAAATACGATCTGAGACTGGTGCAAAAGTGTAGTCTGTTTACTTACACGCCATTGTCCAGAAGTGAATACTGGCATTATGAATTACACTCAAACTAGCCATGGAAACCACTCATCGTGTAGCAGGCAGATTTGACTGAAACAATTGCAGCGCGTTCACGGATAAGAGTGCACTGAGATAAGCAAACTCATCGATATGCTTACTGTCAAATGGAGTTTTACGACGGAGAGTAAATACCAAAGGAGGTAGCGCTATAGAGAATACATCTGTTGCTTTGCATTTTGGTTCGTGCAGGTGTGCTTTATGGGAGGTTCGTATATCAGCCAAGAAAGGCTGATAATGAAGTAGGAGACAAGTATTCTCAAGTACAATGGAAAAAACTTAAAAAGTTGCGACTCAACCTTTTTGCTAACATAATAGTAGAATTAAGTTATCGCTTTAGGCAAGAGATTTGACTTAGTCCACATTTTATAACTTGTGTCAGATTACATCTGCATATCTATACACGGCCACGTCATTAATATGGTAGCGCTATTCACCCTTGACACAGATCAAGAGACAGTAAGTGATGCATGTCTATGCTAGGTGGATGGAATTTAATAAAAGTAACGGCTGCCAAAAATCAGCAACAGTAAAGCCTTTTTTCCCAGACCGAAGTGAATATTAAAGATGGATGCAGAACCTAGATAAGTGAGTAGTGCAAAATGTAATACTGCTTTATGATATGAGTGGACCCTCTAGTCAAATTTTTATCCAGAAATAAATTAGTAGCTAAAACACAAACTGGACAAGAAAGAATACTTAAGAGATATTCAGCAATATCCGTCTTCCGAACGCTGTTGCAAATGTATAAGAAAATAGTTAGGGTCATTACGAAGTCTAACAGTTAATAAGCAATAAAATTGAAGCTAGATGAATATAATAGGCTAGACATGGCCTTCCTAAGTTAGCAATGCTTGTAGAAAGAAGTATACAAAAAAGCCATACCGCTGCACACCCTCACACATCATCAGCTGGCCTTGGAAAATGGTAGATTCTCAGGAAGCATATGTAGAGGCTTGGCAATAAATAACAACTCTCTAATTTTGTGATAAGAAATGAAATCTATGAAATGGCCTTATAATCGGGAAACTTGCAAAAGTGAGGCTAAACCATGAATCAAATAGAATCTCCAATAAAAAAATTAAAAAGCCAAAAATGAAACCTTCTTAGGATACGAAATTCGAATGAGCCGACTAGATATCCAAAAAAGTCGCGTTCCCCTAGAAAGTGGTAGAATAGTCTCGACAAATTGACCCATCATGTTTCGATATTCACAGATTATAAAGACTTGATTGCCAATGAAAAACCCTTTGACTCTCCATTGATAAAACTGTAATCGCTTAGCTGACATTAATTTCGTTTGAAAGTATGTAATAAGGAGATTCTTGGGTCGATCCTCCCAGAAGACGACGATAGTTCCCCCAAGCCCATGCTTTAACTTAATTAAAGTTGAATGTTTAAGCTAAATTAGTCCTCAATACATACACCGTTTATCATGTTGTAAATGTGATGAGCTTTCGTCTATCATAATAATTGGCAGATCTAACTAAGACTGAAGCTCATTCTACTAGCAACATCAAACTAACGAATTAATAAAAGTTGCCGGCTCATCCGTGCCTGATCAATACATATAGGAAAAATTAATTAATGAAGCAAAATAATTTTCAAATGTATCTCTGCTTGTGTAAATACATATTTTTCCTTTTGCGTGCTTTTATAAAACTTCCGTGATCGTTTTTAGTAATCAGGACAGAGCGCATCAACAATAGTAGCAACTAAGTCCGGTGAAATGCACCACCACGATGGTGCAGTACCGAAAACATATTCGGTTTTGTTGATGAATTTTTGAATGAAATAAGATATCTGGAAAGAGTGACAATAAACTGAGCAATAGCCAAAGGGAATAGTTAAGTTTTATTTCTAGGTGGTATAGCCTCCTCCGAATCATAAAGTTTGAAATCAAATATATGAGAAGTGTTGATCCTGGTTTGTTTAGGCTGACGAAGGATTAGTGGTTGAATTTTCTTGCAATGATATGAGTGGACCTTACTGCTCCATTGAATTTCACATGGCCTTGCTTCCCAAATATTGTTCTCATCCAGAGTGGACTGCAATTTCTACCTAGCATACCCCCAGTGGGACTCGAACCACAACAGTGCAGCGTATAATCTTGACAAGTTAACTACTACACCATATTGCCACGAATGCCCTATGGTTACAGAGCAGATGTGAATCTCAATTAAGGCAAAACATTTTCCCATAATACATTCTGTGGTGGGATTGTCGATGAAGGAAAGTTATATTTGCTATGATAATCGACTACATTACTTATTTTTCATTTGTAAGTAGGCTTTCAAGACAACTAGAAAATCGGCCTACCCTAGATAAAAATACCGTTTGGAAATAAAAGATATGTGAAATTCAATGGGAATGTAAGGTCTACTCATATCACTGTAGGAAAATTCAACTATCAATCTTTAATCACCTTAAATGAAATAGAGTGAATAAATCTCATAGATCTGGTTTACTGGTAGTCTTGAAAGCCTACTTACAAATTAAAAATCAAGGGCAAGTAGTCTCACATGGCTCATCTTACTTACATTCAAGGTATTCCCTAATCTGCCGAGTTTGACAGCCTCTCTCATTTGCTCTTGATAACAGGCATACAAAAGTCAGTAAAATAATAGGAATGAGACCATTATTTGTCAATTTACAAGAGTGTGTTCAAGCAGTCACCACAACATACGCATGTGTACGAACCGATAGACAAACATAGAAATGAATTAAATAAAAAGGAGACTAAATAATTACTTGATTATTTATTTATATATAGCAAATAGAGATGAGGCTTTTGTTTCTCCTAATCAATGTCATTAGCAAAATGGCGTCTGCCATGCGACATGAGACGAGGACTCTGTAATTTCCCCCCTGGAATCAAAGTAGAGTATCATGAAAAATGCATCAGCATAAGCATCTTAATGAAGTCTAACAAAAGCAGATTCAGGAAAAAGTGTCATCTTATTCTGGAGAGCTCGAAGTACTCATCGCTCCTTAACTTACTTAAAAACAAAAGTGACCTTA